GAAGATGAGTAAAACGCAATTTACAATTAAAAACGTATGTGGTGTAAAACTTGTTAAAGGTCATATTCAAATAATGGCTGATAAATGCTATCTCTGTAACTATTACTTGACATAAGGAATAATAAAAGAAAAGCAGTTTTCCGCTTACGTATATATATATATATATATATATTCAAACACACTATTTATAAAACGATAGCACAAGAGAAAATAACACGTGAGAACTAAAGAACGCATAACTTTAGCTTGCGAATCTTAAACCTTATCAATCTGTTGTCTATTCCAAGGAGGTTTGCAAGAAAAGTTCTTTTTGAATTCAAATTTGAAATGATCCCTTTTGACACGAAAGTATCATGTGTGTTATTCTTCTGAAAAACAAAAAAGAAAAAAAACATAACAATTGCTTTCCTTCTCAACAGGACAGAGATTAATTTTAAAATATCTCCCAAAAGTGCTCCGAGTTCGTTCTTACCCAGATAACAGAAAACAAACTACTGCCGCGTAAGCACGCGTTTTTTGAAAGACTGCCGCTCGTCAGTACATTTTATTTCCAGAGTGGGAAATGGTTGTTTGTTATGTTCAGACAGCTCTAAATTTCCACAGTAAAACGCAGCGTATTTTCTTAAGCAAATTTCAAGTTTTTGTTTTGTTTAAAACGTATAATTCATCCGGCAGTTAGGTGGTTCTACTTCAAGTTATTTATTTATTTTATTAGCACGCTAAGAAAGCCAGCAGTGCTCTTACGTACATTTAACGGTACTTAAGAAAGTAGCTCTAAATGTCATCAGATAGTTTGTTAACGTTGACGTGATGAATACAATTCATTCGTAGTTTATCTTTCTGTAAAATACTAACTACATCCTTTAGATTATATAAAAATCAATGTTATTTTGTTCATCACTTCGGTTCAGCAGGTTTTACTTTACAAATAAGACAGGATGGAGTGAACGCCGGAGATATTAGCCATACGTCCTTGTTACCATTTTGGTGAACAGATGACGCTAACAGTATGTAATGCTAACGGTGTTACTCTAGCATTATTTCGTTAGTCGCAAAAACACCTAAAGTGACGATTTTTTATCATGCGATCTTTGGGACTTACGCATATTCTGTTTCGCAGTATTTTAAGGTTTTGCTAAACTTCCCAATATCAGATCTATTATTGATTAGGTTGTTTGCTCACGGTGTCCAGCTGGTCTAGTCTTTTGATGTAATGCAACTGCAGTCAAATGAATAGTAATACGGAGATCTCCTTCTTCAAGTCTTAATAGCCAATTCAGCCCATTCCCAACTCAGCTTTGACAATTTTATCTTCACCTGAGTCTTGCAGAGCAGAATTCAAATGCTTTTTTTCTAAATTGAGCCTGACCTAGGTACATTACTTTACCTCATTTATAACACAATCTGCATTTATACGAGTCTAATCTATTGACAAAATAAAAGTAAACTCAATGCTCTGGACTATTTTTCTTACAGTTAGTAGATTAGCATATCTATTGATTAGTTTGTAGAGGCATTAGGATTTTTTGATGTTGGGAGACATGAAAATGAGCAATGCCCTCGTCGAGACTCGAACCACGAACCTCTCGAATACGCGTCGAGCATGCTAACCACTACACCACGAAGGCATGCTACGAAGGCGGGAGAAATACTTTATAATTCCAAATCTAAAATTCCTGTTTCAATTTAAAAGAAATGCCACTATAAATTAAAGTATTCCCGCTGCTTTGGGTATTGATATATACCATCATTTTTATTAAAATTATTGAAAACTCCTAGCGTAATCCCATAGTATAATGCAACAAACAAACAAGCGAAAATGTAGGAGAAATCTAATTAAATCTAGTCGTTAAGAAAAGTCAAATGCGAAGATAAGCTAATACAAATCATAAAATTGTTTTTACGTAAAGAATGGAAGGTGAAAATTCATTAATTCAGCCTCCTTTATGAGAGGCGATGAGGAATATTGTTGATGTGGAAATGATCAGACACTTATTAAACTAATGTTTTTATTATTTCTAGCTTAGTTCTTTAATTTGCATTATCATTATCAATTTCAACACCTAAAGAAACATTTTGTTTTTGAATTAAAGACACCAATTTTTGCCAAATTCATTCGGCCGAGTTTAATATGGAAGGTTTTTTGACGATTCCTAGAATAATGAACAGTAGCTGGAATATTATTTTCATGGTGATATGCTCAGGCTCATTGTTTTTAAAGAATTTGGAATTATTTTGCAGGTTAAGTTTTTGCATCCATTATTTTAAATTTCATTTAAAAATATTAATATAATTGTAATAATGCATTATTACTTTAATAAACTTATAGTTTCACTATTTCATAATTCGATCTCCACCATTTTGTGTTGGAGGGGTGGGAGGGGGTGGGGGTGGAAACCCCCGGGCCCGTTCTCCCTCGGTGTACTCTTCATCAAAACTGGGGACGGAACTGAGCTAAATCGCACTGTCATCTGTTAGGTGCTCAAGGCTGTTGCCAACAACAGGTGTAATCTAGCGTTCCTTGCCGTGAGGAATTTCACGTGCTTGGGCTGACTACGTCAGGCAAGTGAGCAACAACAGAATAGTATGGAAAGAAACAGTGGATGCTAATGTAAAATGGGTTTAATATTTTTTTTTTTATTTAGTTATGGCAAAGCACGCGGGGTCTATAAGCCTAAGGGCAGGGATGCCTTCGTGAAAGATTTCCAAAGGGAAAATGGTTCATATGCACATTACAGGTAAAAAAACACCGCAAAAACGCTCAGGCAAACAGCCCGTTAGCTTGGAATCAAACCCAATATTGCATTCATTAATCCCAGCATTGAACTTATCAGTGTTCAACTACTTTCCCGCTCGGCCACTGGTAGGCAGGCTAGCAGCCGGAAGGCCCAGAGTTCGGAAGGCCGGTGAGGGAGTATTGATTTTTCATGTTTGAACTTTCATGTTTCATGTCTCAGTGAAAACCGAATGATAGTATAAACATTTTCCTCCTTTTGATCGTTCACAGTGTTAACTTGCATTACATTTTAAGCCGTAAAATGGGAGGAAATATGCATTTTACTACAAAAGTGGATTTAAAGTAACATTTCCGATTTTTATATGCACAATTTTACATTTGGATTTGGTCTTGTTCTACACATAGAAGTGTTTTCAAATATAAACTGAGATAAATATGACTACTATCTGAAATATACGTTGTTTTTTATTATTCATAAAGTTATTTCTAAAAGTAATTAAGCAAAATATAAAATGCGACCTAAGGTTGCAACAGAGATCTGAGAGCTTCGAATAAATAGCTTTCTAATGTATAACTGTGATTTTATATACCCCCAGTTACGTATCTTTCAACAACGCTAACGGTTCAATTATTGACGCTTATTTAATGATCTGTATTCTTTCATTTACGCATTAGAAATGTAAGCAGCATTAATAAATATAAGTTACCTTTGTAATGGAAATGGAAAATGTAGCTAATTAATTTTTTCCCCAAACTTACAATCTGGATTTCTTAAAATATCTTAAGTTCATCTTTTAATAATGGATTTTTATAAAAAATAATCTATTTTATTTCAAAGAAACCGTGAGCCCAAAATTAAAATGTATTGATCAAAAGCCTTCAGTAAAATTAATTAAACTTTTTTTTTAGTCTTTTTGGTATGTTTTAATTCCTACTAGAAATTAAAATTCTTTTCGGGGTATTATGCCAGTTGCACGAAAAATCTTTTAGTGTTCTCTCATTTTTATCCTGGAAATTAGTGGTACTTTTTCGTTATTAGTAATTTCTGTGAGTTTTGCATTATCCGTTGAACTACGCTTCAATAAATTCTCATTCAAGGAATATTTTTGTGGCCCATTTTAAGTTATTTAATTAATTCACTATGCTACGATTTTCATTGTTCATTAGTTAAATAACATCCAATTAATAGATTAATTTAAAGATGAATGTGTAGCCTTAAATTAGCTTTAACAGAAAGAGATAGATTGAATTTGAATTACTATGCAGAAGCAGTATAAATGTATTGGAGAAAATAATGGCATTAAAATGGAACTTGACATAAATTTCCTTCTCGATTCTTCAATAGCTGTTAGACTTTAATTTTGTTTAACTTTGAGAAGATATCCCCCAACCCCCATAAAAAAGGTAACGAATTAACCTAAGCAGTTAAAAATTATCACGTATAAACTAAACAGAAATATGGAAGATATCATTAACTTTAATTAATTCTAAGCAATTATTTTGTCTTTTCGGACTTTCGTTTTATTTGTTTCATCTCCAAAGCGTAATAATAAACGTATCTAGCAGATAATTTTTATAATGATGATGATTTATTTTGTTGCAGATAACTTGATATTAGCTCACAGCTTGATTGGGGAAGGCACCAATTCACTTTTTAGGCATGGCCGGAAAAAAATGCTGCGTAAATTACTGGAAATTGCGGTGTAGCGGATGACAGGAGGGAAATTTGGAAGAAGCCGATCAGCTTGGCAGTTAAACAACATTAAATTTAATTGACAAATTTCTTAGCACATAGCTTATAAACTAGTAGAACACTAAGGGTGCTAAACGCGCCCCAAAATTTTAGATACGCAGTTACATTTTACATAAAAGAGAATAGCTAGCAGAGGCTATGCGATGCGCTGCCAGCAGGAAGGCGATGTGGTGAAAGAGGATGCGTAGTTAGTTTCAGTACTGTTTATAAGTTTATTTTTGTTTTAACCCTGAGCAGCGATTGGCAAAACATTTCGCACTACGGTTACAGCAGAGAAAGCGTGAATTCTGGATACATTTGAGATTTGAATTTTCGATTTTAAATGAATTTTTATGTCTTAAATGAAAATTTAATGAATCTTAAAAAAAGTTTTGTTCTTATTTTTTGACCTATTACCAAGTTTCTTTTTGCATTTAATAACGTATTTAATTTAATTCAAACTTATATATGTATATATGCACACACACACAATAAATTCAGAAGATAATTCTGACAGAAATATTTCCCAAATAAGTTAACAGTTCCAGGGCAGGCAAAATTGTTAATATATTGTTGTTCTCAAAAGTTAATTATTTTGTTGTTCTCAAAAGTTAATAACTTTGTTAAATATGCGGCCTAGCTACTAAAGAATGAGATTAAATTTGTACTTGAAAATTTTTATATTTTATCTTTTTAAGCTAGAGTAAATTTAGCCATCAGATAAGAATAAAACTCTTGCTTACCGTGATCTCCTGGTCGTGGGGTCTTTCATAACCATGACTTCTGTGATCTCCCCAAATTTGCTAAAATACTCCCTGAGGCCCTCTAGAACAGAAAGATAAAGACATAACAAATAAATATGCATCATGTACGTGTTTTATTAATGATGAAGAATAAACAATACGCACAAAAATTAAATGTTTTTGCTTTAAGAAAAAACAACAAATATTTCCTTTTCTCAAAATACTAAAATGGTATTAACAACACCAGATGAATAGCACTTTATTGTTTTTTAAACTCTACAATAAATCAGTTTAAAGAAGCTTAAAAGTTTAGATTTGCTTACAGAAGAAATGAGGTAGGAAAAAAAACAACGATTAGAGTTACTAATTAATAATACTCCAACAACAACACTCCAGAAAACGACATAAAATTCGTTTTTTTTTTTTTTTTTTTTTTTTTTTTTTTTTTTTTTTTTTTTTTTAAAGTTACAATTGTACATTAGATAGAGTTTAATTAGTTTTAAAGGGGTAGTTTATCGTCAGCGGTTCCCTGAAATAAGAAATACTCAGCGATTCTGGTTTTCGTCTTTTTAATAACAATTACTTAGATTTATAAATATAACTCAATTTTAGATTTAATCTACTAGCTAATGACACTGTGTTGTACAAATCACCAAAATATAAGTGAAACATGTATGGAGTTTAGGAAAAATGTACAACATTCAGTCCATAAACTCATTAAATGCTTTTGTTTTAAGGAGAAATAAATACTAAAACAGTATTACTAACGCCTGATGAACTGCCTTCTGCGGTCTTTTAAGCTACGTTATTAATCAGTTTATTTAAAGAAGCTCTAATGTCTCGATCTGCTAGCAGAAAGAATGGAGCAGATAAAAAAAATAAAGGTCTTTTGTAAACACACTGATGAGTAATGTTTGGGCTGAACTAGAGAGAAGAAACGAATTCTGAAATTTACTTTTGAGAATTTTCATAGTGTATTAGGTAAGTATTTAATTAATTCTTTGCAAAAAGATATCTTCCTGCTTTCAATTGCATTGCAAAAATACAATCTACTCCCACATACTGGGGGCGAATGAACTGAGCCTTATACGACTCTTCCAAAATAAGATCATCAATCTTAAAAGAGAAAACATCCTAACCGATTTTTTATGCGAGTTTAAACTCAATAATATTGTTCAACTTCTATTGTAAATATTGGTCTTTAATGGTACTTAGTTTTTTTCATATCTGATCATGTTCATTCTTTTGTTATTTACAGGAAGCTCTTTTCTTTCTCGGATATTGATTTAATTTACTTAACCAAATGAACTTACTCTCCAAATTAAACTGCTGAAAAGAAGACTTATTAGTAATACTTTTACAGTTAGTTAAAATATGAGCCTCTCTCCTGTGTTTTTTTTTACCTACCCTCGGATTAAATGCGATTTTGAGTTAGAGTGGACATCGTCTCCATTATTAATCCAAAATCGAGAATTAAATGCATACTTCTGATGACTTTTACAGTTAATTTATTAGCTGATGATACTGTAATGACCAGACACCAAAAATTCAGTTTAAAAAAAGATATTTTGTACGATATCTGAAGGTGTGTGGATGATATGTGGATGTACTACATTACGCAAATCTATCAGAGACTACGAATTTTGAATATGGTCTTACTAATGACCATCTAAAAACCGCAATGAAATAGTCAATGAAATCAATCCACAATGAAAGAGTCAGCGTATGCAATCAAAATCGTAGCTCCTAAATCAAAAATTTTCTCCGTTATATTTTAGAAGCTGTACTGTTATTATTATTTTTATTATTTGGTAGTATTGTATTTTTATTCTAGAAAATAATATCAACGCCAACTTCAGTTATTCAATAAAATAATTTCATTTGCCACATTTAAAATTATATAAAATTTTATTTTTAAAGGTTAACTGTGCCACTTGCAAAACACAATTAGAGACGTACCTACAATAGTTCAAACATTACGTTTTTTTTTCTAAGTTTTTTTTTATTAAAGGTGCCAATATAAATAGATTATAGCTGAAAAATTACAGAAGCAGCAGGGTTTTCATAATATTCTTTATTACATGAACAAATGTTAGAGTTGGCATAAACTTTTATGAAGTGTTTATAATGGCTGACGAAAGATATACGAAAAAGTCTTGCTTTTTATTGTCAAAGTTGTTTTACTTGATCTTATGGTATTATCTAGCAGTCGAGTAGAGATATAAAACATCTAACGATACACATGTATAGGCTTCACATTATCTTTCGATACAATTCTAGCTGCATTTTGGTGTTAATGCTCTTTAAAAACCAAAGGAAAAAATAAGATAAAAAGGGAGGATTACGTCGCAATAATAAAGAATAAAGCACACGTCAGAATTTTCAAGTTGTCTCTAAATTGCACAATAATTTAGAACTATGATATTATCAGAGAATGGTCAACAATTTATTTTACTGCAGTAAGATATACTCGTTTTGAAAATTTTATGAAAGAAGATAGCAAAATTGAAAACAAGCAACTGATTAAACATAAAACATTGCTTCTACAAAAATTTAGAGTCAATTGTTTTAAATAAATTGTTGCAAACCTACCAAATGGTATTGACAGCATTTACTATTGACTTACCCACTTACTTTTTCTAAAATATCGTCTACATTTGGACAGAATTTTCCATGCAGTTAATTGTTTACAGTAAACTCTCGATTATCCGGTCTAATGTCCGGGAAGCAGGTCACGAATAATTGAAAAACATGGATAATCCAAACTATCAATTTTTATGCATATTGTTTGTTTTGTTTCTGAAAAAAGGAAAAAAATATTTTTACTTTCTTTTTGAGAACGTTTAAATATTTGTCGAATTTCATTGCGTATTTTTCTTAATTTTCCTTTTATTTTTTATTATTGTATTCGAATCCCCTTTAGACTACGGAGTCCAACCGAGTTTCAACAGAAGTCATTGCTGTCTCGATCCTAACGTAATTGTCAATATATTTTTCGCTTGTATTTTCAGTATCATTCTTTGCCTCTTCGGCCCTTGTTATATTTCACACAATATCTGCACTCAAGCGTTGAAAGCGGGACTGAATAGAATACTCAAGCATAAACGCTATATAATAGAATGTTCAAGCATTGAAATGCCAGTTGAACAGAATGGCCATCAAATCATTCCTAAGAATTTTACATTTAAAATTTTTTTGGCATAACGTTCCAGTTATTGCCTCGACTTCTACACAAGCAGATAAATCTCCCGTTTCTATATTAGGAAGAATATCTTTATATTCGAACTTGCTAGTGCTTGTCTTTACACTCTCGCGCATAGCGGATAATCCAAGAGTATACACGGATAATCAAGAGTATACTGTACTTGTTTCAAAACGAAATTTGCAGTTATGGCTTCGAAAGTTGAAGAATAACAATCAAGTTTTTTTGCAAAGCGGGAGAAACAGCAACGGAGAAATTTGAAATGCTGGGTAAAATATTAAAATCAAGCAAGATCTCACGTTTTGCGTTGGAATGGGTTATATCACGAAGGACGCAAAGATGTTGCTGATGAATCTGAGTGGCCATCCTTTATAATCTCGAACGGATGACAACATTGAAAAATTTCCGTACTGAAGATTTATTATTTCTCTTTTATCATTTATCTTTATGAGTTCGAATGTGTTGGTTTAAACAGGTATTTGTAAATGTGTAAACACAATTTGCAAGCGTATAGCGTAGTACGTATGGGGGCAGTCAAAATACTGGCGATTTGAAACTTCCCTCGAGTGCGTTCACTGTACATAAAGAGGGGTGATGGACCTTCGGACCGTAGCCTGGGGGTGCTTTCCATCAAAACTGGGACGGAACTGCACAGTTAAAGCGGTGGGACTACACCTGTACAATGAACGGTGAATTCTGCTGCTCCGCGCACTTGTACCTGTACCTCTAAAGTAATTTTACAATAAAAGTAAAATATTTTTACTTAAATATTTTTACAATAAAAGTCTCTTTTTCATTACGTAAGTAGATAGAGAAGGTTTCAAAATATTCCATCAATTTCACAAGTTATATATAACACAGGTCTTGTGTTTACTATCTCAAGACTTTTAAAGAAAAAAAAAAAAAATAAACTGATGATAATTTTCTTTTATCACAACCATTATTATCATTGTAACTATTAATTTTATGACTAGTCTCTCGTGTTTACAGTGCAGATTAATCTTACTTGAGTAGATATTAAATAATATAATTATCAATGTCTATATTAAATGCGTACAGTACTTGTGCTTCGTGGAATACAATGAATATTAATTATAATATGCGTAGCAATATAAATACCGAAAATTATACTAAATTTGCAATTAATGTACAAACGTGCACAGAATTTAATTTTAGTAATGATCTTCCTAGTTTTCATCTGTTTATTACTACAGTACATATATAAAAAAATGACCTAATATACAGAACATGTTTCCGTGAGCTTCTTTCTCTTTAAGCAGTAATTACTGTAGTAATTATGTTATTTCTTTTCTTTTATAGTATTTTATTCTGCCATTTTTATCTTTAACGTCAAAGCGATTAATTTCGCGTAACAATGAAAAATCACACGTCTTTTCTTGTAATTAGACAGCATTATCTGGTTGATTTATTACTTGTATAAAACATACTTTACACGAAGTTCACACGGAGAAATCAAGGTGGTTCGTGTAAAAATATAGATTTTTTGGTAAATCTCTTGCTCCCAAACAGACAAAAAATTTCTGAGAAAATGAAAAGCCAATTTAAAAAATGCGGCTTAAACAGAAAGCAAAAACACAAATTCTCTCTAAATATACATGACTAAACGAAACGAGTTTTACTCATGAAACGAATTACCTTTTGGGAATTTAGTTGTAGTCTTAGCTTCTGTGGGTTTAAAAATTAGCAGCATATCTTAACATACTTAAGAATAAAACGGCTAATAATTTTAGAAAAACTGCTCCATTTATAAGTTTATCATTCTATGTGGTATTATGTTATTAAGAAATCCTTGTTCCCCCCCAAAAAAAAAATTCTTATTTTAAAAACAACATTTATGTACTTCCATCATGAATAAATAAACTTGTCTTATGAAAGTCAGATTTGCTTTGAAAAGATAATTAAATTACATTTATTGTACCAGCCATGTACTACAACTCATATCTCAGCTTATGTCTGAATTTAAAAGAACAAGGACAGTCTGCCAATACAAACACATAGAGGAAAATTCAACTCTTTTGCCCCTTCTATAAATTTTGTCTAAAACAAAATCCAAACGATGGAAAATTGGTGATTTGGAGGAAAATAAGAGAAGTGATATAAAAATATTTAAACGTCACCATGTGATGAATTAATCTCTAATTCTGTTTCTGACATACTATACGTTTAAAAAAAATTCTTTTCTTTAACGAGGTATTTCCGTAACTTACTACGATCACACAAACTGTTTATAATTTATTGTTCAGTTAGTTCGGTGAACAGTTAGTGCGAAGCACAGTTAGAAAGTACCAGTACATTTTACATTAGGAAAATAAACATGAGAAGTGATGCTAACTACCTAAATAAGAGCTAATATTTACATTTGAAACTATTAATTAGTAGCAACAAGCTTTTTAAAAACAATATTAACATCTTTTGGACAATGGATTTTTTTCAATGAGGTTAATAAATAAAATAAAGCAATTTATTTATTTATTTATTCTAAGAATTTTAAACTATACATTTTTTATCAGCATGCCCTCTTGAATAATGAATGTACATTTTAGAATTTCTGTGCCTGAACTCATAGTTGGCGCCTCGTCTTAATTACATAATTACATGATTAAACATATCTGGCTTGTGATTATCAATCGCACACGAAGCAAATAACGTGTCTGTATAATTTTCTATAATTACAATAGAATTAAAAAACATTTGGTTCGCTTCTTAGCCTTTTAACACAAGTAAAATTATTTTTGTTAGTTTCTTTACGAATTTAATTTTTTTTAAATATAAAAGTGCCAACATGTACAGTAATTTTTTCTTAAAATGCATTCATTTAAAAATTTTTTAAACTAATTTAGAAAAAAAGTGTCCGACACATACAAATTGGCCTATATTGTTCCGTTAATGTGTAGTTTACAAATATTAATAAAAAAAGTTGCGCATTGAATACAGACCATGGTTTACTCTGGGAGTTATCGCCCACTTACAACATATAAAATTAAGTAGTTCAGAGCTTGTGTAAATAAAATTTCATTACAGTATTTGTTGCACCCGGCACAGAAATGTTGAGTAATTAAAATATATATATATATATTTTATTATTTATTTAAATTGTCAACATTGTATGTTTTGTTTTGAATTTTACAGAAATAAAAACATTAATTTTTTTAACTGTATCACCTTCGTTCGGATCAAAAATGATAAACAAAACAAATTATATTATAATACAAAATAAAATTCTAAAATATAAAACCACATCTTTGTTTAATTTCAGTTTACTAAAAACAAACAATTTCAGAATATATAAAAATTAATTTAATTTCTTGCTTTACTTAGAACCGAAATGCTCATGTGTCTGAAGAAAGAAGCAATTCTTGCGCGTTAATTTTGGGCAATAATATCTGCTTTGTTTTTAATTTCAAACTGCTTTGTTTAAAAACAAACAAATAAAACTACTTTATTTGTTTACTTTTAGCATCACCTTTGTTAAAAGAAAAAATGACAAATAATAATAATAACAAGAATATGAATTGCATTACAATACAGTTAAATGAGGCTTGCGTAAAAACGTCTGTGAATTACGAATTATGAAAGAATTACTAACAGAAGCTATCAGCATAAAAAGAAACTGTCTACAGAAAATATAGAAAGGAAAATGAACGAGATCATGCCAGCTAGATGAACTCTGCTCAAAACCCGAAGGTACTGACTTTTTACGCACGTTTGAACTTGTTATAACGTCCAATTTCTCTCGTAATATTGTTCTTTCATGCTAATTATGCCTTAGTTTCTTCATTTCTAATGATGTTTAACCTTTCGTTATTTAGTGTGTGTGTGTTTTTTTTACTTTAATTTATGTACTCAAAAGAACTTATTTTCCACACTAAATTGCTTGAAAATACAGGTAAACTGTTAACAGCATTTTTCTGTTAATTGTAACGTGAATTATTCCTCTTTAGCCGAGATTTCTCTCCTCCCTCTTTTCCCGAGCTAACCGTGGACGTCGTCCTTGCCATTAACCCAATTAATAAAGAGTTCACTGAAAATTAAGTATTTTTTGTGCAGGGGAAAAACAATCCAAATATTCACTCGAATATAATGTCTGGAATTCTACTGTACTCTTCTTTCCCCCCCTTAAAAAGAACTATCAAACCTATAAAATAAAACTCGCAATAAATTAATCTTCCATCTTCCAGAAGCCTTGAACTCTATTTTAACATTCTAGAAATTAATCACCGAGAAATCTTGTTTCCAACCAGAAAGAAAACACTAATTTCTCCGCAAACTTCCATCAAGTTTGTTACTCTGAATCTCTTTTTAGTAATTAAAATTCGATAACAAAAATAGGGATTTACTTACCAGGTGCAGTCTGCCAGCTCAGTCCGCCAACAAACATTTTTCTGTCATGGCAACAACATGAAAGAGAAAAAGAAGAAAAAACACATCATTAGTATTAACCACCTAGGAAAAGTTTTCCACATCACTTTATAAAAACGTCTCCTACCTTAATCCTGGAGATTACGATGCCAATCACCTATGATATAATCGATATAAAACTCAAGTAAAAAAATTCTGCACAAGCGAGAGAGAGCCGCCACAGACTTCCAGCTGCTAACAAAGCCGAAAAAAAAAAAAGGGCGGGAAATGAAGATAAAAAGAATCTAGCGACAAACAAGCGGAAAAAACATGGCGGCTCTCTCCCAATAGCAATAATAATAGTAATAATAATAAAAGAAGTAACCTGATCGTGGTAAAATTCAGCTTCCAAACAAGCAACCGCTTTTATAAATAAACACAGGATTATTGTTGTCTCTAAAGCGTTTGCATTATTGGAAAGATTAAAAATAGCAAGACGAAAGAAAGTTAGCAGTGTTTTTCTCTTGATACTGGAAACCAACGACTGATGGCGAAAAGGCTTCCGATATTACGCGAATGTTGCCTTGGTTTCTTTTAATATGCACTTAAATATCTATAGTCTTTATAACGTAGGAAAAATACTAATAACGCAAATTTAAAAGAATCAGACGTCGTTCAACGGTTCAAAAGTGATTCCAAAAATTACTTAAGTGGTTTTTAAAGTGTTAATTGTGAAAAGTTATAAAGATTCCTTTTTTATTTTACCAGCCGCCTTTATTTAATAACTACTTTAGACGACCAATGAAATTATTATAAAAAGAAGCATACGAAATAATTTTAATGAATCCAGCTAATGTAATTTCACTGATCCAGCTAATAATAGAGGTGAAATGCATTTATTATTTTTAAGTCGCCTGGTTTATTAATCATGAGCAGACATATACACTTTGAAAGAAAAATTAAGTATCTTTCATTCAGCCGAATGGAAACACACTGGAGCGTGGAAAATAAAAATATTTCATTTCGGGCAGTGGCAAAACATTTCTCTTAAATCACTCAGTTATCTGAAAGAATTACGCTTTTCCGAGTAGCAACACATATCTATTAAATCGCTGAGTTTTCTGATTAAATTTAAGATATCAATAACCTGTGCCCTGTCGGGTGGCAAAATATTGCTTTAAAATCACCTAGTTATGAAATAAAAGAATCACTAAGTTCGCACGAAACATTAAATAACTCAAAAGCAAGTTTAAAATTGTGACTTCGAGGTGCACATATTCAGGTAGAGTCTTATGTATGTTCAAAATTTAGTGGTTCTAGGTGACGCTATTTTTCCCCAATGCAAGAAATACACATATACCTTGCACACACACACAAAAAGGGCTGGCAGTTCTGTATCTCTCGTCTTACTGGGCCGCTTGACGAAATTCAATTTGCGTTTTTCATGTCTCGTAAGCGCGACTCAGGCTATATTTAGCACTGTTTCAACATAGATTCCGATTTGTAATCAGAATATGTTCCAACATATTCTGACTACAAATCGGATTTTTTCTCAAATGACATGCCTATGTTTTTCCATATTTCGAGTCTACGACTCAAATTATGCTGAAATGTCAAGTTTCGTAAAATCGCAGGAGTAGTTTTTATAAAATTAGCTCTCAGAATTCCTCAATGTTAATTAAATTTGGTATGTATTTATTAACATCTCTTTTTATTAAACTTACTTGATTCCTTCTTTTAGAATTGGAAATTTAGGTTCAATCCAAATAAAATTCGCAGATATTTTCTGATTTATTTTTAAAATTTGTATTTTTAGTAATTTACATACACAGACATATATGTAATGAAAGCACACCATATTTGAATACTCGATGATATCTAACTTTTAGAATGATGAATTTGCAGATACTATTTTACAGAAATCTAACTGAGGAATAAATGTTCCATTGGAGGTTAGTAGCACGTAATTCAATCCTGTATGACTAAAATCAGCTGTCATGATTTTAAAATGCAGAGAAGGAGGAAATCCGGTATTTTTAGCACCTTTTGATTTTAAAATGCGTAGATGAAGGCACCACTGAAACTTTTAACAGCTTTCGATATTGTGCAGATGACTAAGAAGACCACAGTCGCTGAATGTAGGACTGAGTGGGAAAGCATGATGACGCATTTAGTACAACTCAGCTTGAAGAATCACAATCTTTATTTTTTTCGCATATCAAATCATTCTTTTGCAGACAAGATTTTGGAAAGAGGGTCAGTTTGAACACCTAGCAGGCACCGATTTCTTAATTATAGTTAAGTTATTACTTAATTATAGTTTCGTAATTACAGTTAAGTTATTACTTAATTATAGTTTCTTAATTATAGTTATAATACAAAAAGTTCCATTTTAAAGTACGAAGTTATCTTAGGAAAATCAGCAGTAGCGTGGTAAAGCAGCGTCTTGCCAGCAGGAAAACATAAGGGGAAAAGAGAAACTCAGAGGAAGATGGGAGGGAGTCAATAGTTTCAGTTTACAATTAATTTGATTGGATTAGAGGTATCTGCATTAAAACGTTACGTAACATAGAAAGATCTCGAATCTGGAAGCAGACCAAAGTATTTTAACATGTGTTCAAATTGTACTATCCTGATAGACTTTGTGTAGAGAGGGGTACAAAACATTGGATCTGGCCTGTAAAAATTATTACCGACGAGAAAGTGACTGTCAACTCCAACATGGCGACAGAAGAAACTTTCTAAAAGATGCTGTCCTCTGTAAAATCGTAAAGATCATATTGTTTACCAACGAAGGCGCTGTCGTCTTTCACGGGTGTTGAGACTATCTGGGAAAAAAAGGTGGCGTTAATGGTCCTAGAAAGAAAAACACGACGCTGAGAAGAAACTGGATAATTACGTTGATGATTTCTCATACTGGAATTCACTCATGTTCCTTTAGCACGAGGCCCACTGTGGAAACATCTGAGGTTGCTGGGACGCTAAGCATCTGACGTTAAGCAATAGAAACCCTGAATAAACACATTCGTATTAAGGTATCAAACTGGATAAGTACACGTGTAACATATTTCGTTACTCATTTTTAAAGAAACGCTTAAGCATTCACTTGATTACGCGAATAACTGATGCATGTTTAGACGAATCATACCCATATCATGTCAGACGTCACGAATAGCACACTGCAATGTTTTTGGTAGTACAGTTTTTACACGAAAGATTTAAGTAAACGTTCAAACTGAATGTAAAATGGGGCCCCTTTTCCTACATATTATTTTTTATAATTATTAATGTGATATAAAATTTAAAAGTTTCGAGAACCTCTTGCTTCACAGTGATATCAAGTACCCTCTTGCATCCGTTTTTTTTAACAAGTTCAGCACCACATGTAGTAGCAGGGTCGGATGTTGCACTCGCTTAAGCTAACCCATTTCTTTTTGTCTATTTAGCTTTATTATTAAGCATAATTTTCTTTCCCATACACAATTCAACGGGAAAATTACACAAATTTTAAAAGCAGCATGTGTTTAGTATTCCTGATTAAACATTAAGCGTAGACATACATTTTTCTATTTTTTCAGTCTTTTCTTAGTTTGTCATATCAATGTACAGTTTTCTTAGTACGATGGCTTACAAAGCATTTTCGTTTTTTTCTTAATATTTTGTGTGTTATATTTATTAATGAAATATCATGCTCTTCGCATTTAAGCCATAAAAAATTCAGTAATAGCAAAATCACAAAATATTTAAAACCAGCATGTACATAGATTTTAGAATTCCGATAGACAGTATCATGCGTCCGAGATGTAAACGTTTTATTCCATACAGTGTTGTACAGGGTTGCCGTTGAGTCTGTTAAAAATTCATTAAAAGTTTTATAAAATATGAAATATAAAATTCAGAATTGAAGATTCGGGATTTTTTGGCCGTCGGTACCGTCGTTCTTTCACATTGCGAGAAACATACATACATTCAAGCAAATTCTTCGTTATTTAATTTCTTTAGAAGTAATACAGGGCGATAATATTTCATGGCAACAATCTGAAAAATGATTCAGACATTTAAAGTGATACACTGCCAAATGCCGTTTCGAGACTAATAAATAGCACATTCGAGCTAATGCTCTTTTAGGATAAAAATATCTAAAATATCACTATAGCCCTCGTATGCCTTGTCATATTTAAATAACCTAACCTAAAATATCGTTGGTTCTGAATAAACCTGAGAATGTTATTCCAAAATGACTGAAAATTATGAGACACTTTATCAATGATTACTAAACTTTTATGCTAGGGTCACACTTTATTCCTCTTATTTCTCTATTGCAATGAAAATATTTTTGTTTCTCTCAAGATATAGCTGCGCAATTTCGCTGCCCACTTAAGAGTGCCACGGCACACACTTTAAGAATCTTTATTTTTTTATACTAATATTCTGCGTGGAAATATTGGGCTCGGATGAAAAGATGTATCCCAAAAATACGGGAGACTTAAAAAAAAATGAAATAAATAAATTCTGAGTATTATTAACTTTGGGACCATAAGCACACAACCTGCCAAGACTCTACACATAGAATTTCTGAAACTATGGTACATGTATCACGTCAAATAATTACTAGATAATTACTAGAAATTTAAATTTTTAAATTTTTTTTTTACTAATACCTATGCATTTTCATGGACATTTTGGAACTAAATTACTCATTAATTTACTAGTTTTTCTTATTTCTATTTTATTATGTTATTATACCTCAAAGAAAGCGCGTCGTTTTCACTTAATGTATAAAATCCAGTTCTGACAAAATTCACAGATGAAAACGGAGACAGGGCGGAAACGGCGAATGTTACTAATACCATATGTTACGTAACTGTAGAGAATTTTTCCCTTTATTATTATTATTATTACTATAGTTCTGTAACATACTTTTAATCTTTTGAAATTTTCAATATCCTTTCATTTAAACATAATTACCTTTCAAATACCAGCACAAAAGATTTCGGCAAAATTCACTGAATTTGCATTTATATTTCTTAGATTTATTTCTATG